TCTGCTATTTATGTTCAAAGATTGTGAACTCCAACCCAACTGGCCAAAATGATCCATGATTCTCAGATTTATGTTCAAAAATTGTGAACTTCAACCAAACTGGCCTTTATGAATCATAATTCGCAGACTTATGTCCAAAAATTGTGAACTCCAACCCAACTGGCCAATAGAAACCATGATTCTGGTATTTATGTTCAAAAATTGTTAACTCCAACCCAACTGGCCAAAATTAACCATGATTCTCAGAAATGAAATTGAATATATTGTGGATTTTTTATCTGTCCTGTATCCCAAGTTGATACTGCAGTATAACACATATCATCCCGAGTCTCATAGTATATGGGATAGCAAATCCTCTGTCAAAATCCAGAGACAAATTGTCATGAATTTAGTAAAATATCATTCTAATACCAAATGTCACAGTGACTTTGTGGAATTTATACCCCATGAACATTAAAAAGTGAATACATCACACAAATGTCCAATGGTGAACATTTTACGAATCACAGTACCTTGTATAAATTAGTTGGGCTTTGGAGCTGAGAGAGCACTTATTGGAAATCGCCTTAGCATATAGAGGAAGTCTGTATTAGAAAGGCACCTCGGCAATCTTTTTGGGCTTTCAGGCAATTGTGTTCTCTGCCTCTGTGAACTTCAAGCCCTGAAATTGTTGTTTTGTCTTACAGCTACTAGTAATATTACTTGGCAGTAAACTTGTGGAACGGTTTGGTTCGTATAAAGTCATATTGATGTCTTTTTATATAAAAGTGATTTCTGGTATCCTAATGTTCAGTCTTGGGAGATCCCATACATGGCTGCTTGCAGTATTTTTTCTCATGGATGTGTAAGTACTTGAATTTAACTATTGTGGATTGCAACTCAATGTATATTATTTGTGGTAAGGAACAACTAAGCTTAGGGAGTGCACTGAAAATGATTAATCATTGAACACAAAGGAGATTTACAAATCCAAGAACACGAAACACAAAAAGAATTCACATATTAAACAATGCAATTAAGTCACAAATACTTGCATCTATACATAACATTGTCAAATCAGTAAGAGAATAAAATTTTGTATCCTTTTATTTCCTGTGTACAGGAGCCTGCCAAATGCCACGTTCAGCTTTTTCAACTTATCGCTGACTGATATCATCGACGATGACGTGGTACGATTTCAACGAAGGTAGGTTTATCAAATTTTCTGGAATAGAAGAATGTTTCCTTTGCTCTCAGTATTAAATGAAAGACGTATTGTACTCTTTGTGACAAAAAAATAATCTTGGGTAATCTTGTTACACTGTTCAAGAGAGTCTCAACAACTAGCTCAAAGTACTGTTTCCAGAGTGTTTTTGGCTTTTGGGTCCATCAGTAATGGTTACCGGTACCAGACAATGAAAATACCTGGATATTTGCTCCCAGCTTTTATCTTTGATTGTCAAAGTCAATATTTATTACCTTTTCCAAAATAAAGCCACTCAAAAACAAAACAATCATGACTTTTTGTCAATGAGATATTATACATGTTCATTTGGTTCAAATTTAGCCAATAAATGATAGAAAAATACGTAAAATAAAAAATAAAAATGTTGCAGCAAATGTCAAAGCAGTAAAATGATAGTCATACTTATTGCTGTGAACATGTAACAGTATCATGTCTGTCTGACAGTGGTGGGAATATTGTGTATTAATTAGTAGGATAGAGTACAACATGACTGACATTGTATAGTAGCTTAATGTCTTGCAATCCATCTTCCTTGTCCAGCCTAACTTTCTCGTTTGACATTTTATGTCACTGCGCAGCTTTCAATATCATTTCTCAGATCAGATTTTTAGTCCCCGTTTGGACGCAGTCTGAAAACAGGGACTTATGGATTGACCTCTGTGTGTCTGCACGTGTGTATATCTTAGACATGCCTGCACCAATTACATTCAAACTTCACACATACATCATACATAATATTATACATATGCACACAATTTCTTTCACGATCTTATTCTATATGGCCGCCATTTTTGTACTGGAAATCAAGCATTTCTTGGCTGTTTACAGATGGATTTTGTTCAAACTTGGTATATACATTAGACATTATGGGACCTTGATGCAAATCATTTTGTTTTCAGATAAGATTAACAATGGCCGACTGGCGGCCATTTTGTTTTAATGAATGTGGTTCTAGTGTCATATCTCTGACTTGCTTTGACTGATTATGTTCAAATTTTATATATTCATTATACATTATGTCATAGATATGTACACAGATATATTAGTTTGATGATTATATTCAAGATGGCCGAATGGTGGCCATTTTTGTGCTAAAAAATCATCAAATATCAAACATTTCTGGCATTTCTGGATGGATTTCTTTCAAACTTGGTACATACATTAGACATTACAGGTTTCCTGATGCATGTCATTTTATTTTTCAGATTGGATTCAAACAGACTGACTGGCGGTCATTTTATTTAAATGAATGGGCTTCTAGAGCCATATCTCTGACTTGCTTTGACTGATTATGTTCAAATTTTTAATATTCATTATACATAATGTCATAGATATACATGTATATTGGTTTGACGATTCTATTCAAAGTGGCCAAATGGTGGGCATTTTTGTCTTAAAAAAATCATCAATTATTAAGCATTTCTGGATGGATTTCTTTCAAACTTGGTACATATATTAGATATTACAGGTTCCTGATGCACGTCTTTTTATTTTTCAGATCGGATTCAAAATGGCTGACTGGTGGTCATTTTGTTTTAATGAATGGGCTTCTAGAGCCATATCTCGGACATGCTTTGACTGATTATGTTCAAATTTTATATATTCATTATACATCATGTTATAGATTTTGATTTAATTAATGCTGTTCCAGAGCAATATCTCTCAATATGGTCAAGTACTTGTTTGACAATCAGATATAAATGTCAATCATTTTAATGTTAAACAATCATCATAATCATATTCCTGACATGGTTATATTTCAGCTATATTACTATAAACAAAACTATATATCTTAAATTCGATAACTAACAAGGTCTGTGCCATGCATGGCTTGTTCTTTATATTTGTTATTAAAAAAAACAAAAATAGCAATTCATTTTAAGTTTGAATAAAGATTCATATTGCACACATGCTCTAGTACTGTGGATGACTTTAGTTTCAGTGGATTTTATTTTTCCTGATTTACATCTTCAGTGAAAATAAATTAGTCAACAGAGTTAGGATTTTAGGATTTTTAAGACCAAGATGGTCGCAAGGTCAGTCAGATACTTGATAACATCCCAAAACAAAATTTCAGATCACTATTCCTGTAATACTGTTGTTTCTTCCTTATAACTTTAGATCACCACTGTCTTCTATGATGTTTGGTACCAATGCGTTGTTTACAAAACCAGCCCAATCTGTCGCTCCTATGTTGGTAGTCAGTATACTCAATCGTCATGGATACCAGTCAGCTATATCTCATGGACACATAGAAGACAATCCTGAATTGCTTGATGCAATATTTCTATTGGTCTGTGCAGTGCCCACTGTACTAGGAGTGTGTCAGTTGTTGGCATGGTTACAGTATACACTACGAAGCAGCCATCTTGTAACACCAAAATATATTGAAACTTAAACAGGAAATGTTTTGTACACTCTATTTTGTGTGTTACAGGTGGTTTTATTTCAGTACCTTAATTATTATAACATTTACCGTTTTCTAGGTTTATTGAATGTCATTCCAATAATGACCCTGATAAA